TTTTTGTGATGTTTGAACGTGACTTCAGAATTATTAACGACATGAAAGAAAGGCACATTATTTTTTATAAGCATTCAATCAGGCACTAGACAATCATGTTCTACATTTGTTTACAAAACATACGCATTTAAAACACACACACAGCGTCAGCTGGTCTTATATAACCTTATACATGTACCTGTCAGACCCAACCCACACCACGGACTATTCCGTTAGATGGTAGTGAAAGCTTAGGTGTCTGGCAGTGGATACTATACCAAAAAATATGCAGCTTTCTGCAAGGAGAATATTACTTGTTGAATATAAATAAGGGAATTTATGAACATGGTGTAATTAATGCCATCAGGAAGATTGCCAGGTATATAAAAACAAAAACAATATTGATTATAGTACCAGTATACTCAATGACATGGACTTGTTTGGCGGGTACATGCATACACGTACGCGGTACATAATGCACAGTGTTTAAAATATATGCAACTTCCTCATGGTCACCGTTCATTGGCTACATGTACCTGACCGATAATCCAACAACACAGGTAATACTTACAGTGGGTAAACAAATAGTGAATATAAAAACATAGAAATCAAATCGAACAAACGTTCCAAAAATATTACTTTTGTACGCTTTAAAAGATTGGGTTTTTAAATGAGTTTTGACTTTCACAAGGGGACTGTCAGTCGTAGCAAATGAGTGGACTTATAACGGTATAGTTTAAGTGTAAATACAATTGTAAAACGGAATAAGCTCTTCCAACGGGTACACACACGTAAGCCGTAATTCGATACCCATTTATTTATAACATATGGCTTAACTATGATCATGCAGAGATCTTCACGGCTATAACGGTTTTAAAACAATTGCGACAAAACTACCATTAATTGGAAATCAACAGTACATATACATAAACATTGCTATGGTGCTGTGTTCTAAAGTGTTGAAAGTGCACGTGTGTCAAATGACTCAGTGGGAAGCGGGATTAGATACATGACCAAACGTAAGAAGATCAGACACAGTGCAAACTGGAACCACACGTGAGAATTTGTCCGTGATCATAACTTTTCCGTTAGTCGTCTAGGAATGGAGGATCTTACGAGATTTGACTAGTTTACGCGCGTGGAAGGCCATTTCGTTCCGGTATCTGGTAAGGTCTTCATTAACAGACACGTTGGCAAAGTCAGAACAGTCACGGAAAGCCTTACTTCAAAAGCCGACACTTGGCATCTACTGACTCAGGCACATGGTGAATTGCCTAGGCCTGGAAGGGATCTGGTGACCGATCTGCTATCTGGACTTACCCACACGATGATTGCCTTCCACATCGACAGGATTTCAGTCAGCAGCAGTAACAGCCGTCATGATTTTGTGGTATCCTCCTCTTTTTCTTCATGGATCACAGAGAGAAGGGCAAGCGACCTCCTAGCATACTGCTCAACATTATCGATCATTAGTCGAAGATCACGGTTTTCGCACTCGAGCGAGTCCACACGTGCGAGTAGGGGGTTACCTGTTTGCTGACCTCAGCTTCCACAAGCTTGCTGATCTCCTCTCGGAAGGAGATGTTTAAAGCCTTGACAGCACAACTGAGATCCTCATCCGATAGTCTAAATCCACATATGGCAGGCTGTCCCGGAGGATACATTGACTGAAGGGATTGGCTCATGTAGCTATGAGCTGTATGTGTTTCAAGACAATTTTTTTCAAAGACAGCCACTGTAACCAGGTCTAAGCACATTTTGGTCAGTATGTGAATATATATTTAACTTGGTGAAAACTTCAAAATAAGGTTAAATCAGGGCAATTTATGGCTCTATGCTAAAGCCTGTGTAGTTGGACTGACCCTAATACGAAGGTTTTAAATTAGGATTGCATGTGTTTCAATAGTACTATTATTATCTGTGTACCAGGTTTGAGCACCAGAATCTTGATAGAACAGAATTATTGTCTGCTGTCCTGCACAAGTGTGGCCACTTTCCTCATACAAATCATATATTTATTTATATTCTTTTGTAAGAGAGCAATGACTAACTTCAAGTTTAAAAACTGAATAACTCTAAAACGTTCTAAATTGAAAATCAAATAACCTGTGTCAACATACTACCATGTGTAAAAGTACACCACAGATTTTAGAACCAGTTACATAGCACATTATAAGCACATTTTAAAGCACAATTTTGCATTTAGCACCATTTTATTGTTCGGTATAATAGAGTGTATGAGTTTTGTTAGCCGTACTCTGCATGAAGTTACTCTGTCGTATTTTCATATACAGCCTTTCCAGATTTGAAAGTGATTTTTGTTCAATCTAATGGTTTTTTGAACTTTTTTTTTATCATAGATTGCGTTTTCTCATTATAACAGTTAAACCGTGCACAACAAGACTAGGAACAGCAATAAGCCTCTAAGCACCACAGATCATGCTACATCTGTATTATAAGAAATGCAGATGTGAGTTTATTTATGTGTATATGTTACATATAGGTTATTTTGGTTAAATCCAACTTAAATTCATTTTTTTAGTGAATTAAAATTAATTAATTTGTTTTTATTCCTGTCATGATATACACTTGACCAACATCCTGTTTATTGATTTAATATATTTCTGTTGTGTGCTTACTCAGACAATTAGCTGATTATAGCATTACATTAGCCGTACCCCAAATATTCTCCCTGTAAAGTGGCGGCACCCCAGGGAGCATGGAGCGCTATATGTACACACTGTGTTTAATGGATAGCTAATCAGTTAAGATCGATATCTGATAATATGTTATGACGCATGGTTAAGGATTTTGGAGTTTTGTGTGAATTCTAAGCGTGTTAAATTGTTAAAATTCAATACCATTTACTAAAACAAATATTTAATTACTTAAGATACTGTAATGATTACAGGAACAGAGGTACCAAGATTTCATTTCCAATATATGTGAGTGGTATGCATAATAAATGTGTGTGCAAAATATGAAACTGCTAAGTGTGTGCCTAATTGGTGTGCTAGAGGTTAATGTTATGTAAATGAAATGATAATTGTTTTACTCGGTAATGTATATTTTTCAGAACGTCATTTCAACATGTTAAAGGATACGGATTCCTTCAAAGAATAACAAAACTAAAAAAGTTTTTTTAGATCTTGATATTTGATGGTGGATTGATATGGGGTCAAACGTTAGGGGATGTACCCGTCCCACTGCACCGGTCTGGTTTGTAAACTTCTGGTTTTCTAAAGCAGACGCCTGTAGCGCTCTTATATACCATTAAACCCGCCAAAGATACCATATAAAACCCTTGTCAAGTATGTATCTGTGAATCTAGACAGTTGTCGCTAGTGTTGAACATCAAATATAAAGGATATTAATCAAAAAAGCTTAGTAATAACAAATAGTAAATGATTTAGTTGTGTGAGTCATGTATGGGCGGATTGGTCGAGTGGTTAACACTCCGGCCTTCCAAGCAGGCGGCCGGGGTTCGATCCCCGAAGTCGCCGTACGCATGGAATATTAGAGAAAGTGTTTTTCTCCTGCCCACACAACTCCAACAACCCAGGTGGAGTATAAAATGGTCTGGGGTGGGTGTTGCGGTATCTGTGCTGTAGCATTCAAGTGAGGTGGCACTATAAATGATACCGTTGGAAGCACGGTCCCACTACAAATAGAACACAATACATCTCCAGCACACACACAGACATACACACATATGGAGATATTAGCCAGGTGGCATAGGACTAGTAGTTAGCGCCTGATAAGGCAGCTCTTGCGAATTCCTCAATATTGTATAGATTAATATATATATGCTAATTGTATTGACTGTATAAAATTGCATATCTATGAACTGTAAAGCGCTTTAGAGTGGCTTATCTTAGCTAGATAGGGCGCTATATCAAATGTTGTATATATTTTGTTTATTATTATATAGAGAGAGGGTATTAACCAGCTATCCAGCCTTGCAAGTCAGAAGCCTCATGGTTCTATGGAACCTGTTATGACTATTTATTCTGATTGACTTAATCCTCATGGTATATGCGCAGTGAGTTCGGAATGTCTTCTGGCGATTCACCAATATCAAGTCGTCTCGAAAGTCAAAACCCACGTAAACAAATAGATGCACCGATGATTGCTGCTCCTCGACGGGAGCAAATGCCGAACGACTAACTGTACGTTTTCGTTAGTTTTAAATAGTTTTGTTAAATGAAAACACAGGGACAATAGTGAAAGTATAACAGTGAATCACTATTCAGCAACCACAAGAACAATGAACTATTGGTTAACAATACCGAGCTATACAGTGCGAATAAAGCTTGAGCACTCTGTGTGCGATGGTAATTGTGGTTGATATAAATAGCGGAATGTCTTCAACAATAATAACTATTTGTTTCAAAACCACATAATCTAGATTTTAACGTATATTTGTATGCCACCATAATTAGCTAAATATGTAGGTTTATCTCTAAATAGTTAATACATTTATTCATAAAGATCATACATACAGACATCGACACGGTCCCATGAAACACGCAGGTAAGCATAGTCGCCTTGTACACGTACCTAGGGTGTTTCTCGTCACCCGGGGCACTTACGTAACTGTCCGTGGTGTACAAACTATCTGTGTCAGACACAGGCCAAACAAAACCTCACGGTCACTCATCCAAGTGTTGTTTACCTGCTCTTTTACCTGAGAGCTATTATTGACAGTTTTACATTTCTAATACTGTACACATATGTAATACGCATTGTAAAATTAGACGTAATGCAAACTTTACTAACCAGAAATAACACATCTACAGTGTACCTTATGTCAAATTCCGAACTGAGCAAGATAACACATAAATGAAGAAAACGATATCAAAACACAACACCTGTATATTGTATTGTAGTAGTAAAAATAAACTCTAAGCTTTATATTAATTATATTGCCTACATTACTCAACGTACCCTCATCAAACAATGTTCTTCGTATATTTCAAGAAAATTTTAGTAAAATGGAAACAAATAGAATAAATACTTACTTTCGGATCTTGATACCGGAACAATCAAGAGCAGGATAGGCATTATATCCCAGCATCGTAATCTTATTCTGGTCGACATGACAGTCTGCTGCTAGCTAGCCTTCGATGTGGCGTTATCGACAACCAGGAAGTATCACGGCGTTAACAATCGTCGACCGTGGACATAGCTGTAGTTATCTAACAAAGAAATCTTTCTAATTGAGAAAATATAAAAAAACGTCTTTACAACTGATTGTGTGGCATTGTAAATGCGAGTTAAATTTAGATCATTGACTTTGTGCTCTTACATACGTTTTACACGGCTCAGTTAAATTATGTATTTTAATTCTGAATACCATTACCATTTGAATACGCTTAAGAAATCACTTTGAAATTAAACTACCAAAAACCATTTTACCACTAATCATATTAAATATTGGTGTAAAGACCTGTGATCTATCAAAGAATGTACTCATTAACAATTAAGATGAAAATATTGTCTGATATGAAATATTTGATATATGGGTATTGAATATTAGTTTGGAATAGCTGACAGATGGGAAATAGCATATTCATTTTAGAATTGTTAGTTTGATAATATTTTGCGATTTACTGTTGACTGTTATTGTTGTAAGATGCATCATGAATGCAGACGTGATATATGACATTGTGTAGATGGTATATTACAATGAATAATACAAGTTGTATTACAAAGGCAGTATTGATACTCTATGATGTGTTACACTAAGGTGTTGTCCTCTTTATAGAAAAAAAAACCTTGTAGTCGTGCTTTCTATTGACCTTTGGCAAATCTAGTAAGTGTGGATTGGGTTGTCAGACGACCACTATGTGCAGATATCTGTATTGTATGTGTGGCATTGCTATTTTTGGAAAATTATTCGAATTATTCTGTGAGCTTAATGTACACCCATTCTTGTTTGTTATACGCTTTACATCGAACTCTGAAAGGTATACACTACCTTTCAAACCAAACCACTTACACCAAGCCAGGTCTGTACAGCTACGCACATTATGTCAATACAAGTGTTTGGAAATAATTTTAAAATTAATCTACATGTTACTTTTTTCCGTTTCATGTTTCACTACGTAAATGTACACACTTGTTTCAAGACGCACCGAGCTAAGTACATAATGCATTTCGCTAGATATTAATCTGTTGTTTATGATTTTCAAAGGCACAAGGTAAATAAGAAAGACGCTCTACCACGAAATGACAGTGATCATGTCACGTTGTAAGCCATAAACGGATTTTTTTTTGAACACATCGTTATTCTTCAGACATTAATATTTAATTCATTACCAGCCCCGGTCGACAAGGACGCTGTCTAATGTCTAATACTTCCACATCGTCAGAGGATGAATGACAACGCAACACAGAAAAGAATGGCGGCACACTAACTGTAACATGTTGACATAATAATATCCCCTACATAAAATGTACGCCAGAATAAACAATGTAGACTGATTTAAAAAGTTAAACAGCAAGAATGACAATATTAAAAGAAGGAAAACCTTCATACAAGAAACAAAATGCATAACAGTACGACATTGCATTGTTACAATTTAGCAATGTATCATTTTAAGTATAAAAAGAAACTACTCACAAACATCGGCTTTAGCACAACACGAATAAGAGCTTAACAAGCGAATGTGTATCAACTGACGTACATTGATTCTCTAACTTGTTTATGTATTACATTTTCTATCACATGAAAATTAATATTGCACAAAGTTAATCAACGGTTAAAAAGAAAATCAGTTGACATTTTGTTGTTCTCTTGCTGTTTTTGTGAAGCGGTATCTATATCGTAGTTGTCTTGTTTGCCCGATTTTAAATTCAGAACAATGTACAACGATCATATATGAATAACGTTCTGAGATCTACAGTTCATGTTTGCTTTCAATTTGAG